TTATTCGATTCAAATTTTATTATTCGGATATGTTTTAAGTGGAAAATTATGACTCGAATTTCGAAATGCGAATAATTAAGAGTGGTAAGAGTATTCTTTATTACTAGAGTAGAGTACTTGAATTCGGATGGTTAGAAAAATTAGGATTCATCGTACCTATTTTGAAATTTGGTTACAGATTTTTATACGTACGATATACTTTCTTATTATTTTTTTGAAAATTATGAAAATTATACGTGACAAGTAACTGATTTACAGTTCGAAATCTGTATTGAAAGTATCTGTATGAAAAAATTAATTCTAATTTTAGAAAATATCAGATTTTACTTTGCAATGATCAAATCACGTGATCAAAATTAAAGCAATAGCATAGGAATAATTAGAAAACCAAATTTAATTTCGAATGCCAAAAATACCTGCACATTTTTAATATTTACAAAAAAAAAAAAAAAAATATTTCTTTATTAGAATGTACGAAGATTTTATTTAACTCGATACGTACGATCAATAAGACACGTAAAAACTTTACGTCATCATTTTTCCAAAAAATTTCCATAAAAGTAAATGATCATGCGCAATCAGCAGTTATTGCGCGTCACAAAAGAACCTGATTGCAGCTAATAAATATCAATCCACGTATGTAAAACGCGTAATGAACGGACGTGCATAAATTACAAGCTTAAATAAACATCTTGGCAACGCTTCATCACTCCTTGGGAACATCACGTTTGGAAAAAAACGTTGGCGATTCTTTCAATCGAACCGTCGATTGTATTTATCCTGAATCGGTGGCGCAACAATGAATCAGTTTCAAATTATTTTATTTAACATATACCTCCGATCGTAACAGACGTTATTAACTAATCCACTCGGACATCACCGTTTATAACCGTTCAATGACGTTTATTGTTACAACCTCTTACGACCATAATCGCTTTATAAACGCGTTTTAAACACACGCCTTTGTTACCGACGTCTGAGTTGCTGTTTAACTGCATGCAAAGAAAACACGAGCATAGTAAGGAGAACAGATCGCATTACCGATCTGTTGATCCACAACCGGTGCACGGTTTTAAAATACAATTGTGATTCCACCGGGACCCGTGCATACTTTATCTGTTAAAGCTCCCCTTTATTAGCATGATTCATTTCGTATTCTGCCGTTATGTTTCCTTACGACTTCGACGAGTTGAATGGTTAACGCTTCTGTATACGCGAAGTTAGGGTAATCGATATATTCCTTGAATACGTAAGCTCGACAATGATGCGCCCCTTCTTTCTCAGTTCTATCAGTTTATGAACGGAAATTTTCGATCGTAAGTCACAATTGCGGTGGATTACGTGTTTTGTGGGTTGTGCCTCGCAATACTCGTTAATTCGACAATAAAATTTAATTTTACGAGAGAGTAACGGTCGAGTGTAGGAGAAATCAAATTTGTTAGTCTTAAAGGATTCTTAAAGGAAGTTTCAAACTCTTATAACGATATTCAAAATTCTCGACAAGGCTCGATATACTAGGATACTTGAAAATTTACTAAGGATACTTAAAATATTTGAATATAAATCTTTGATCTTTGATAGTGATCGTTCCTTAAAAATTTTTAGGATTTCTAAAATCAGATGCAGAAAATTGAAATTATTTACTAATTTTTAAATTCCCTTATCTTAAATTGTTTCAATATCGAAAGATATTTAAAAATTATTCGATATTAATCTTAGGTTTTTAAATATTTTGGGTATATCTAGAAAACGTTAAATTTTAGAAAAATCCGTGGGAGATCCTAATCAACTCATTCGGATCTTTAATTCGTTTTCCAAAGTTTAGAAATCTTATCTATTTTCGAAAATTGTAACAGTATTAAAAAATTACAAAGAAAAAATTATTGCAAAAATTAAATATAAATAAACATTCTCTATTCTCTTAAAAATTCATTTGCAAATTATTCGATTTCTAATTATTATATTTTAATACTAGTTTCCGCTGCATTTTCATTCTAGTACATACACGTCTTAAATATCCATTGATGAACACTTTTTGAGAAAGAGGAAAACGTAAAGGCATCGAGATTTACTTTGAATGCAACGCGAGCATTATTTAAATATATACAATCGAAAGTGGAAGTAATTAGTACGTTGCGAGGCTCATTGTGGCTCAGACGTTAGCATAGCCTCTAACTCCTCGTCTTCCAGGAATTTTACCCTAAGTCGATGGAGAGTTCGGCAAACAATGTCGACTATTCCTAACTTGTAGCCAGGAATTGGACGAGTCTTCTCGTGTGTGCTGATCATACAAGCTAAAGTACTTGCACACGAGGTTCGCACTGGACGTTTCCTTTATGAGTCCGTGGTGTAGAAAAATACTTTACTTTCCCGTTTCTCGAGACCTAAAACCGCGAACCAGAGTTTGTCTGTCTACCACGTGAATGACATTACAATGAATCTTTTAATTTGCTATTACTGTTATCTCAGCGCGGAAATATAACTGAACTGTAATTAATTGATGACTTTTTTAAGATAATTAATACGTATAAAAATTATGATAATGCGTACGAGCAACCGATTATCTTCAGAGATAAATAATTTTATTTCTAAAAAAATTAAACGTTAATTAGATGTTCCGAGATTTATTAAGATTTAGAAAATGAACGTGGAATTGATCAGTATCATTTCTGAAATACTGCATGCATGATGTTTCAGTTAATGTCGCAAATGAGTTTTAATTATTCATTTTATTATAATTTTAAATAAATAGGTAAAAACTATACGTTGAATATTCTTGGTTTAAGAAAGTAATTTTAGGAATTATTTTCTATTACTGCTAGCTATAATTTTAGTCATCCGTGAAGTAATGATAGGAAATTTGAAATGCAAAATCGCATGAATCATAAAAATTGCGACTCGCTGATAATATTCATTTATCGAATGAATATTTATAAACTTGTTCAAGTTATTGCCAATAATTCCTATATTTTACATGCTGTACTTTGCATCTATTATAAGTAATAAACGAAACGTTATTTTATATTAGAAATTCAATACTGCGTAAAATAAAAAATATTTTTAATGATAATTAATGATAATCCATAATAAATAGCAAAAACATAACCGTACTAAAATTTTACGAATAATAACGTAACATTAATGCACAAATATTGTACATTAATATATATATATATACTTATATTATTTCATACGTTTAAGAATTTTTCAATAAAAAAAAAAAAAAAAAAGATACAAATGGATATTCAAACGTTTATAAAATATATTTACAATCGCCAGAATCGCCACTTCTCCAAAATTAAACGGTCATTAAAATTCTTTTAACTGCTTCAACTTCCCCCAAGAAAGAAAGAAAGAGAAAAAAAAAAAAAATCATTCAATTCCTCGTTTCAAATCTTAATCCCACATTAATAAACAACTTCCAACTTGTACATTATCGAACCACTTTATTTTCACGTTCCCCGGTACGATACCGCTACACGTAATTTCCAATCGAGCGCTCGCTTACGCACACATTCTTATCCCACATTTAATTCACCACGGCCGACTATCATCCTTCCAGTTCATCAGTTAAACATTCGTCCCGCTATTATTTCCTGGAAAAACGAAAGGCTCGTCCGCCCGTTCTTTTACCCCTCCTCCGCCCCCCCCCCTCCCCTCCTCAACCCTCAATATATACCGACGTATATCCATCATCGTGCGGACACGAGCACGACGTGTAATCCTGTCGCGGCCAACAGTGTTTCTTTCGCAACTTTATGACACGTTCGTCAAGCTTTCTAACGAATGTCCGTCGATTTCGCGCCGGGCCTTGTTCCACTTTTTCAAACGCGCCAAGTCGCGCCCGCCGTACACGGCGTCAATTAAAAGTCCTCGAAGGAATTTTCCCCTCGAACGCGTCTCATTAATGCGACGTTCCCGGAATGCTAACGCGAGAGCCGGCTGTCTTTCATTAAGAAAGAGAGACGCGCGAACCCCGCGTTGCGCACCCGGCATAGCTATGGCTGTGATTAGGCGAGCTATGAAACGAATGGAAGAGGAGGGAGGGGAGGGAGGGGAAAGAAGAGAAAAAAAATCCTGTCGACGATTCCCCACGAGGTTTCAACGTTTCGTCATATCTCGAGTGGAATTTTCATAGTTTCATTCTGGGAAACTATGTTCTTGCTCGTCTCGTTCGCGAACGAGACGATCTCGATAAAGGAAGTTATTTTTATTGTTGTCGTACAATTTTAAACGTCTGTTTACTGATCTTTCGTTTGTTGAGGATATTTCAATGTGGTGGGATTAATAATGTTGATTGCATTGTTTGTAAGGAAAGAAGAAAGGTGTGTCAATAATTTTTAATGAGAATGAAATCGATCAGTTTTAAAATGTTCAACGTGTCGAATAATATATTGTTAAGAATATATTTATATATATTGATATATTATTCAGAAGAAGAAAATCTTTAGGAGGGTGAATACGAGATCAACTGTATATATTTTTCTAATTTTTATTAAATTCTAAACTAGTTTTGTTATAGTATGAATTAACTTTTCTCTATGAAAGATGGAAAATATGATTTGATTATGATATTTAAGGAGCAAATAATCTAATATTAACGTAACATAGATTTTTATGAAAATGTTACTTTAATTATTGTAAAACATGATTTAAAAAGTATTGAGAAATATTGATTTAAGAAAAGATTAATGACAAATTTCGAAGTCTTCTTCAACAAACGCTATTAAAAATAATATGTTCATCAAATAGATATATCTATTTCTAAGTATATATTAAATATTGATGTTTTTCAAACAAATTCTAGTTAGATTTACGTTATGCATTAAAAAAAGACTCAACAAGTACTTATCTATCATCAATTATTTAAATTGTAAATAATATTCATCGATAATTAGTTTCTGGTTGAGTTATGATATCATTATTCAAACAACATTGAATAATGTCTGCTTTTGAATAAATCATTTAGAATTAATTTTTTCATCTGATATATGTTACAGGCGGTATATGCTGGTCTTCCATTAGCAACGGTCGTTGTAAGGAATTATTGTCACAAGGAGTGACAAAGGAAGATTGTTGCGCGTCGAACGCTGCAGCGGCGACCGCGTACTCGGAGGAAGATCTCGATAGCGGAAGTCTCTTTTTTTGGAGGGTGCTTGGTGGAGGTGTGCAGTGTCGTCCTTGCAGAGGTAAGTGAATATTTTATTTTTGATTTACTTTTGATCTCAACTTTTTAAAAAAAATCTAAAGATTCTTGTCGAAATATTAGTAGTGTGCAAATGTTTATGCAAAATTTAGATATTCCAAAATCTGCAAAATAATATGAAAAAGAAGAAATAATAGAATATCCAAAATATAATAAACATTACTATATTACATTATTATATTGAAGAGTATTTAAAAGATAAAGAAAAATTTAAGCTCCGTAAATTATTATATTTAATTAAAAATTTAATTTTGCATACACATCCGCGATTATTTTTTTACAAAAATTCAAATTCAATGGAAACTGTTAAACTATTTTTCTTGATAGAAAGCTGCACGGAAGTAAGGTGTGAGGAGGGGAAGAAGTGCGTGGTGCGTAGAGGAAGACCAAGGTGTGTGTGCAGCCCTGAGTGCAAGGCACCAAGAGGCGGTGGTCCAGTCTGCGGGACGGACGGCAAAAGCTACAAAAATTTGTGCAGACTGAAGAAACGCGCTTGCAAGAAAGGAAGCCACGAACTAGCGGTTGCCTATAACGGCCACTGCCAAAGTGAGTATGTATGAAAGAGATAGAATCATTATCATCGCTTTGCAATTGAACGACCATCGACAGAACCACTATAGATATAACAAAATTTGAATTCATGGCTTTAAGGATTATTCTTATATTCTTAAATATTTAATAATCAATTAAATTTAATTTTTATTGCTCGATAAATAATTTGAAATGGAATTCATCGAAGGTATTCAGTTGCAAGGATTAAACAATAACAATTCTCGTTAAGATCAGTAAAACTTTTTATATAGAATAATTAACAATTACGATCGCATAAATTTTCACTATTATTTACAATTCTAAATAACGAAGAAGACGTAATTATATTTCCGACCACTTCGACAACTCATTCTCGTGAATTATCCAACTGAGAAACGTCAAATTTTAAATCCTGAATCCCAAAACAAACCATTTCGAAACAAGGGTCCTGAGTGGTCAGAGATCGCGCGTGCGCGCGCATCCTAGGGAACCGCGCCAGGTTCGCGCGTGCGCGGTCTGGCGCGCGGAAAACAAACAGGGAAAGGCGACGCATCTATCACGGGGGCAGTTTACGACTGTGCGTAATAACGTGTAAAGTGTCGAGCAGGTTCGTGCGCACGGGTCCGGTGCGGCCAAGGCCGGAGCTGCCTGCTGGACCAGAACCTGAGCCCGCACTGCGTGAGGTGCGCCCGCAGGTGCCCCCAGCCGCCCCCGCAACAACGAGCCGCCGCACGCCCCGTTTGCGGGGCCGACGGAAACACATACAAGAGTGCCTGCCACCTGCGACTTGCCGCCTGCCGCGCAGGTCGCGCCATTCCCGTCGCCTATAAGGGCCACTGCAAACGTGAGTCTCCTTTTACTTCTTTCCTCCTTTCTTTATCTTTGCTCTTTGTCGCCACCTTCGTCTCTCTTCCACGCTCTTTCTTCTTTCAACCCTCCCCCCTCCCCCGCTTCGCCCTTTTCGTCCCTCACACCCCCTGTGCTGACTTCGTCGTCCGTTTCCATCGCTTACTCCGCGCTCTGCTTCCTCCCCTTCCCCCGTCTCTCTAGCCACTGTTTGCCTTTTCCTCGCCTTCTCTTTGCCCCCTCTTTTTTTTCTTTTTTCTTTTTTCTTTTTTCTTTTCTTTTTTTTTTTTTTTTTGCCTCTCCTTACCGTCGCGGCCTGCTTTTTATTCGGTTTTTCAACGCAGCGGTGCGCAACTCGGGAAGAGAAGCCCCGCAGGGAAATCGTAAATATCGGATGGGGAACGGTGGCGAGTGCGTCTCCCCCCTCTCTCCCCCCCCCCTGGTACCGTGCCACTCGTTCAGGGAGGGATAACGTCGCGGTGATTGTTTTGGGGGAAAGAGGCTGCGGAGAGGCAGAAGGTTGAGCGATTGGACGATATTTCCGACGTTTTTTTCTTTCTTTTTTTTTTGTTATTTTATCGTTTGTGGTGAAGAAAGGTAGATGGGTTTACACAACCTGATATATGAGTCAATATATCTTATAGTATATTGTATAATGTACTATAGCATAAGATCGTAGGTACTGTATTGTGTTGTAATTTAGTTATTATACACGCTTAATATTGGGGATATTATCGAATTGTATAACGTGTATACGCATAAGGTGCTTAAAAGCGTACCTTTTTGTTAAGTATTTAAGAAAAGAAACTTTTATAAAAATAGGTATATTTATTTTTTGATTATAATTTTTATTAGTTAGTTAGAAATTTTTATGTGTTAATTAGTGAATGAATAATTCACTACACACAAGTTGAAATTTATGGAGTTGATGAACTGTTTCAAAACACGTGGCAATGAAATTCTTTCTCATTTTTTATTTTTCGAAAGAATCAAGTAATTTTTATCATATCGATTTATTATATCAATTTGAACATTTGCATTTTTTAAACAAATAATATTATTTCAATTATCACCATTGCATTGCTGTATTTTTTTAAAGATTAATGCGAAATTAGCAGTTGAATTTTTCTGCGCGAGAGCTCGGATGCATTTCGCGCTTTCTTTCGAAGGCACTACCTGTTGCTTCTCATGTGAAAGTGCGATTAAACGCAGGAAAACGGGTGTAAACCACAGGGTGGCTTTTATATGACCCGACGCAACTGGTGAATAAGAATTTTTTAAATACAAACGAACGCTGAAATTGAATGGCGATGTAACAGCATGCATTTTTATAAAGACGTTCTTTTCTCAATTACTGGCGTACATATTGCGATCATAAATATTTTAACATCCGTAATTTTTATTTCATTAAAAGATAAATGCAATTTTTGCACTTAACGTGATACGCAACAACCTGAAGGGGTAACGAGAATATACGTTTACAAGATATTTGTTGCATTTATATTCTTAATTAATTAAAACGGAGTAAATTATACAAAACGATTATTTAGTTACTACGGAATAATATAATAACTAATTAACAGCTCAAACTCATTTAAATTAAACCATATTTTTAATTATGACACGATACAAATATCATAGAAAATATTACAATAATATTTTCTTATTCGATTGTAAAAATTGATATGCATTATATTAAATTAATTAAATTAAAACTTATTCATTGCGTTAATTGAAACGAGACGCAACAGAATGTTCTCTCTCTCTTTCTGTTGTACTGCCATACTTTGTTCTCACTCACTATTTCATTTAACGTGAATTTATCTCATAATTTAATAAGTAAGCATTCTTTAGATTCAAAAATATTTCACGAATATATATACATTTCATATAAATATAATGAATAAAGAATAGTGAAAAAGTTACATCCTTCCAAAACTCGAGGAATATAATATTCCTTAGAATTAGAGACGGACGTGGATGTCTTGGCTGATCGATGAGAGAGAAAGGCGACAATGAAATCGTGCAAGAAAGGGTGAAGGACGGTGAGGAAGAAGGGAAAGAACAAAACAAGGGGAGAGGGGCAAGTTCGAGTATTCGAGTAGCCAGACTGTTACTGCTTTGCATCGGAATGTACCTTATTGTTGCATGGTTTGCACAGTGCCGAACTCTTCTGACAGGTGTCATAAAGTCACTGAGCGAAGTTATGTCCAAACAAGCGTTTACAGTGAATCGCCTTTTCCCCTCTTCCACTTAAGCTGTCCCTTTCTCACTTCTTCCCTATTCTTCTTCGTTTTCATTGGAACAAAATAAAAACCAATAATCACGAATTTTTTAAATCATGATCCATCAGATTTCATTCTAATGCTAGTTAATTAATTCTCATTGAACGGTTCTTTATGATTATTCTATGACTTTCTCTCTCCTCCCTCCGCTTATAGTTTTATAAAACTTCTTTCCAAGAACGAACAATGAGATCTTCTTTCTTGGAAGGTAAATTCCATTTTATTGTTCTCTTTTCTCGGCGTTCTTTCCCGCTCATTCCTAGTCTCTTGATCTTTCAACCGTTACATTATCCTTCTTCCAGGGATAACAGATCCTGACCGTGTACGTGTATTCCACGAATCGCTTTGTACTTCCTTCGAGCTCGTTCTCATTGTCTTTATCCAATGTCAGCTGCTTTTTCTCTTGCCAGTAATTGATTTCGTTATTGTTGGTCTCACCGATAATTGATTTGAAAGTGTGTTTAAAAGGGGGAAAAAAAAAAAAATCGAAGGAATGTTTCATCTTGTTTCTATATTTTTGTCCAAATTTTGACGAAAGTTGTTGAGTCATTAGAATAAAATGTTGCTAAATATTTTTCTGCTTTCCTAAAATTTGATTCGGTAACGTGCTAATGGGTCTGAGCATCGTGCAAATAAAGGGAACTTTCGCGTTTCGATGGAGTCAAAGATCTTTTTTAACAGAATAAGGCCTTTGTCCACATATGCATTCTTCATGAATTATCAATCGTTCCAACGATTGATCCAATAATCGATCCATTATATGAGTTATAATTAACATTAATACCTGCTATCACTTTCAAGCAGTCAGTGTGTTGACAAGACAGCCGATATTTTGAAAAAATAACTTGAAAAGAATAACTCGAAAGCCAAGAAAATGTTCTATGTATCATCAAATCTCAAGAAACAACGTATCTAACCTCTAATTTCTGCCCACAAAAGTGCAATCTGGAAAAAATTCATCGATGAAATATATTCAAAATATCTTGAAAATGGTAAATCTTAACGAGAGATTGAAGCAGTAGCAATTAATATAAAGGGATAAACATATTTTGACCAAATTCCTCGAGATGCTTGAAATTAACATGATTGATGTATAGATGGCGTGCATAAACGCGTGTCGCAGGAGGCACACGATTTTTCCCCGATGCTTCTCAACTCCGTGTGTCCGACATTACACGGATTCAAGAAGAAAAGAAGAGAAAGAAGCATAAAAGTTAAAAAAAGAAAGAGAAAAAAAAGAGAGGAGGAAGAAGAAACATCGAGAGGCAATCGCGAGATCGTTCCAGAAAGTTCATCGACCGAGACGCGATCTGCCTGGCTGCGAGAGAGAACAAAAAATTATAAAAAGAGGGAATACAGACAGTTGGAGCAAGAAAGAGGGATAAAGAAGAGGGAAGAGGAAGAGTAGAGAGAAGAGGGGCGAGAGGGACAGGGAAAAAAAGGGGAAAGTATCGTTTTCTGCGTATTTCTTTGAGCAAGTCGTAATAAAGCCTGTAACTTTGGACATAAGATCATCAATTGCAACTTTGGCAATCTTTTTTTTTCTCAACATGGTATCACCATCCCTTTAGAAACCTCACGCGATCCGTTCCAATCGTTTCTCCGGCTAATTGTATTGGATCTGTCTCAAAGAGACTTCTGTCACAAAAACAAATGCGATATTCACTGTGCCGTTTGATTGAATAATTATCGCGCTATTTTAAAATATAATTTCATGATTTTGAAAAAATTCCAGAAACCTATCCTTAGAAGAAAAATATATATAATAGATTTGTGATACACAAAAGATTTACTAAAAATTATCTAATTCATTATCATAATTTTAATAATAGATGGACGATATATCGCGACAGAAATTTTATTCTCTATATTCAAAATTAAATTAAATTTATCTTCTTATAGACAAGAACTTCATTTAACGTCTCTACGGAATTATCTTCAAAAATGGAGGATAAAATAACAAGATTGTAATTCAAGGAAATATTTTCATATTCTTTCATCGTCTCCATTTTCTCGCAATCTCGCAAAGGGATCTTCACTCGAATGATCGTTCTTTCGATTAGCAACGTCGTTTGCCGGCAGCACGCGTACGATGTGTTACAATAATGTATAAACATTGAATCAAAAACTCGTTAAGAGAATCAGCGCGAGGAAGGGATGTAACGAGTGTATAACTCGAGGCCGTTGGAGGATAATCCGCAGTTTCATCGTTGATTTACGACGCTTGGAATGCCGAGGACGCGTCAGCGGCGTCTTTCCTGTAATATTATCTCTTTACAATGGAAGATCGGAATATTCTCACCAGCATGCTTTTCCGACCGACGATCGTGCGAGAAAAAAATTGTATCATCGAGTTTGAAGAATATGTTCATTAGTAAAAAATCATTTCAGTTTTTAAAATCGTCTACAAGGAATATCGAATATTTTATTTTTCGATTCGCGTGTTGGTTTAATAATTTAGAGAAGATTAGAGAAGATAGAAGAAGATTGGAAAAAATTATTTCGAAAATTTAAAACTTTTTTTTTAGAAAATTGTAATATTAAAAATTTACAAAAAGATATTTAATTCGAATTTTCAGTTCATTTAAAATTTTTAATTTTAAATTTTGCAAAAAGTTTATTTTAGATAATAATTACATTTTATTCTGAAATTAATTCTAAAATAATTTTGTTTAATTTCATTTAATTCTAAAATAAATTTATGATAATTCCT